CAGATTTAAAGTGATTGTTGTTGACATCGCATCATTATTTAAGGGTATTTCCCTTTGCCATTTCTTTCCTTCTCTTGCCATTTGCTATTTAGAAAATAACTTCTTCCAGCTCAGGAAAGTTTTTACTTTCAGATGTGAATTAGCTGCCGTTTGCAACTATCCCGCATATCATAGTTGGTTTAACTTGCCGCAGCGACGCGAACGAATCCCTAGTTAAAATGAAACACAAACAGAGTAAATAACCCCATAGTATGTTTTGAAAAGGAAAAGGTGGCCTAGGCTAGATTGCCTTTTCTTAGCGGACACATACCTGCTTCGCAAGTTTTAATGTCCTTAACGACTATACTTACTTAGCCGTCACCTCCACGTCGGATTTAGCTTGAATTAGTCCCTCATTTTTCCGACGGATGGACATCATTCTGTTATCATCCAAATATATGCTTATTAAACCTGAATTTGCACCGCTAGATCCTTACTTCAGAAGTTGGAAATGCTTGGCAACACCTAGCAGAACTTGGAAACACTGTGCAGGCCCATGTAAATCATGCAAAACGCTATCATTTGGTAAGTGTGTCCGGATATTTATGTGCATGTAAGCCGTGATAGTCCGATAATGTGGTAATTAACATTTTATTCAACAATTTTAGTTCTACTTGGAACTAGAACGCACAGAACGCCAAATAGCACAACAAAAACAACGATTACATCAATTCTTGACTGATCTTCGGACCCAAAAGCCTGACAGCAAGAGCACCCTAAAGAATCTGACGACTTGCATTCAGGAAACACTGGTTCGTTCATTAAATACCATTAAACTGTCTATTTATAATATTTCAGTGGGCTGCATATTTATAATTTCGTTTCACTCTGATACAGGCGGAAATGGTTCAGTTCTACATCGACTGGCAGAAAGTGGAGTTGAAATGTCAGCTTGTTGCGCCCCTTCATCGGCGTATGCCCCTACGTCCAGGCGAACACAGCGGGGTCCTGTTGAACTCCATCAGCCTACCGAATGGTGAACAGCTGAAAAGTGGTCGTCACGTTCTCGTGCACGCCAACAAGCCCAGCGACCTCCTGCACCGTGAGTGGGTGGTGGAAGACCAGGAGAGTCGTGTGATGTCAACAGTTCCTGCTCCCTTCGTCTGGCTCAGTTCCACTGATGTAACGCCTGTTCAATCGCCAGCCAATTCTCGACGAAGCACTCCGATCAATTGTGACACGACTAACCCGAACAACAGAATGGCGGTGGAAAGGTGCGAATCCACAGATCATCTTACCTTGTTTAGACTAACCTTTATAAAAATGACAAACTGGACAACTATATTACGCCTATTGGCTACTTTGGCTTTCTTTATTTAAGTAATCATTACGGTACTAACACCTACCCATTACTTAATATTCAGAATTCGTAGTAGTAGTAGTAGTAGTAGTAGTAGTAGTAGTAGTAGTAGTTGTCGTGTCTGTGGTGGTGGTGGTGGCGGTGGTCGTATTTTGTAGAAAAATCTTTTGATTTGTAAAGACAGTAAAATTACCCAAAAGCTATCATAGTTCTCAAGTATTCATTTTGCCTAGTGTGTTTACAACAGGCAGCAGGATTCAAGCTCGTTTAAAAAGCTGGAATCTTGAAATTTATGTAATATTTTGGGGTGTAACATAAGTATTATCACTGCCAATCGAAAATAGATTTCAGAATTTCGGTCAACATTTCATGCGGTAACACACCTTCCGTAGATATGAGAAAAATTCAATTTCCAGGAACACTCTTCGTTATTTTGTATTTGAAAATAAAAAATAAGGAGGCTGACATAAATTACTTCCCTTAATGCTCAAATGTAGGCAGCAGGGACTGTTCTTCGGGCTGTTAACTGATCATGAATTCGGGTTTTTAGATTACGCCAAAGCATATTTGACAGTTGGCAGGATGCGTGCGCTGGTTTCCGCAATCTCTTGAAGAACTCCTGCTCCTCCTTCGTTGATTTTACTTTGGAACATTATGAGGTAGATCCATCTGCATTTCCACTAGTTGGACCTTTGTTTTACATTTTTTTACTTTATTGAATAACTTTAAGCTGATACTGTTGTGTCGGAAACGGGTGCTACTGTCTCTGCTGATGTCTCTGATGAAGTATCCACCGCGGATTTCGTAACGTCGGGCAATTAAAAGTCTTTTCCTAGCGATTATGTCATGTCTCTCTCCTTTTTGTTGCCTTTCCACGGATAAGTTCATAAAGCCTTAGTTCCTGCAGGCGTAATTTGCCCCTAGAAACGAGAATTTGAGGCGCAGAAAGCATACAAAAAGAAGTTGAGGCAATCGATAGAAGAACGTTTGTTTTCGTCAGACGTTTCGGAGTCTCATGTCAAAGCCTTCATCAGAGACTGTGATAAATGGGGCGTCTGCAGCTGCTTCCACTGATGAAAAACCAGAACAATAAGCGAGCAAAATGCTTACTCCATCTATCGCATCGCCTTCTTCCGAAGTGACTCATTCCAATTAAAATGTAACGAAAGTTTTAAATACGATGAAGACGCGATCACCGGAAGAGCACTTGTACTCGCCTGCGTTTTCGATAGTGCAAGTACCCCTTGATGGATGCACAGGTCGCGGATTTGATCTTTGGGTGGCACATTATTTAGGATGATGGCTGATGACGGCTAGAATGCCAGAAATGTTTATTCCAGTCTGCCTCGTCTTTCTTGGAAATTTTCTTCCCCAAGTACCCCTGTTGTGACCCAGTTTAGGCTCCAACTGATTCTCACTGATTTTCACTACATCCGGAATTAAAACCTCAGTCATCATATGTTACAGTAGTCGCCGGTTATTAAGCCCACCTCGGGCCAAGACCAAATTGGGCTTAATAAGCGGCTAGGCCCATTAACCATGAGCTTAATAACCGGCGAATACTCTACCGATCATCTACTTTCAGGCAGATAGCATTGCTGGCAAGGGCAAGGGGACTAGAATGGCCATTTTTGGCTCATCAGCCATTATCAATCACTCATATCCAATCCTAAATAGTTCCCCATCCGAACCTGCGACCTTTTGATCAGAAGTCTAACGTTCTAACGATTGAGCTATTTGC